TTTTTTTTTATTTAATTACTCATTTTTGACTTACCACATATAGGCTATGTATTGCATATTGCATTATTATTATTATTGTATTATTGTTAACCCCACTTATTATTCCTTCAGAAGACGACTTGGCTAAAAATGTAGCGATCTCAACTTTTTGAATAACTCTGCAAGGTCATGTAAGAATTCACTCTGTACAGCTATAAATATGTATGCTTTTTGAATCGAGAACAACTGATCTAGCTATGAAGTCGAATTAAACTCTTTTATGATGTTATATAATTACACCGACTACTGAATATTCATTCGATGGTCAACAGTAAATGTGAATCATGCCGCGAATCTATCATCAAAGTAACAATGGATTCGCGCTATAAATAGTTTTTGATTCGGTGTTGAATAACATTATATTCGGTGCTTTGTTCCACAGACTGAGTGGGCATATCGAATTCTAACATTTTATCATACATCGTAAACATGCAGTTTCAATCATTGCATATAGAGAGTATATTTAAAACTCAAGCTACACGTGAAATGTAGGAGTATGAAACAAGCGACATGAGAGTAAATGACGCGAATCGAAAGAATGATAAAGGCGTGGTCTGCCAAGTTAAACGAATTTCAACTCTCGCAATTTGAAATGTTTCCTTCGTTTCCACCAATAAGCAAAAAATTCCTGCTCTACTTTTCAACTCCAACCTAATTTTGTGAGATCCCATTTCATTCGTGTGAAATTAAACAGCGAAAGCGTAGATACAAATTTCTCCTTGCTATTTAATAATGATGGCTAGTGTGATCCACCACAACTTTCTGCAACCGGGCCAAACAATCACAGCAGAATACTATTGTGAGAAAATTGACGAAATGTACAGAAATTTACGTTATCAGCATCCAGTACTGGAAAACAGAAGATATCCGGCCCTGCTGCAACAACGCCCGTCAACACCACGTTTCACAAATCCGGGTCTGACCCTTCTGGATCTGTACGTTGAGGTTGCGTTAATGGCCATGGTACGATTGCGCACAGCTGGTGTAAA